ATTGTGCCGACCTATGATCGCTTACGTCCTGAAAGAATACGGCACATAAAATAAGAAGAAGGATTCTTAACAAATTATTTCATACGTTTTATACAATTTTTTTGTTTTCAAATGCTGTTGGCAGCCATATTTAAATTTTCTTCATGCTATATAGAGATTGGACTTTTTCGAGAATGCCTAAAGTAATTTAATCAAAATTTAAAATGAATTCTTTTCTAAATTAAAATGACTAAACAGTAAATGAACATATGACTTGAAGATCGAGTGTATATATCGGTGGCATTGCGATTTTTATATCCCTGCATTGTCTAGATATAAGGTTTAGTGAAAAACGAGATCTCGCGAAATATAACGTGCATTCAAATCTCGTTCACTATTACTCGATTCTTATTTTACGATAATATTTTTTAAAGGCCAGAATTTGTTTTTTTAAACTTGAACGAAATGAAAGAAGATGAGATTGAAGCGTTATGTTCAGAATTTAGATAACGAAAAAAAAAAAAAATTTACGTTTCTTTATAATTATTAGATAAACCAGTGAAAATTTTACGGTTTTCCTATTTGAGTTTTCTGATGAATCTTAATTCTATAGTTAACAATTAGCTCATGACGAGTTCTACGACAACAAAACATCCGTAGAAATTCCCTTATCGCATCGTTAAATATGTGAGCTTAACAAGTTTAACAAAATATTATAATAATTATCATAATTTGCATCTTGGACACATCAATATGGTGTTAGCACCCTTGTCTCGCTCGAAAAATTATGACTGAGTAGTAAGTTCAATCCAAACTGGGTACCCTATATTTTCGGCTTTGTGCTACGCCTAGAAAATGCATGCTGGCCGTTATTTTAAGAAGTAAACGGATACAAAGTAAAAGATTTTCATTTGGTTACTTATTCCATTTCACTGAAACAGACGTTAAACAATGCTTTCTTTAGATTTATCAATGAAGCCAAGTAGCGTCTCTGATATACCCTCTTGTTTTTCCACGCGATCAAAACGCAATAGCCTTTTATTTCTGAGGTTTTGGCAGGGCGTAACGGTCGCGTGAACTAACGAAGTGAAAGACAAGCACAATTAGTATATGATGTCTAAACGTTCGTCTATGTTTCAGAGATGAGGTATTATGTACATTATTTACATTATTCGGACTATTGTACTCATCTTTGTGAGACAGATCTTGGAGAGAGCCAAGCCGCCCAGGTCTAACATAACAAAACTGGAGAGGCTGGCGATTGGATCCCTACAGCGGAACGAAAACATCATCATACTACCGACTGACAAAGGTAAATCGACTGTAGTGATGGACAAATCAGATTATACAAAAAAACTGGAAGACCTCATTAGTAATGGTAGCTACAGCAAAGTGAAAAAGGATCCTATTATAAAAACGGAACGCAAACTGTCACAGATCCTAATCAAGAACAAGGATCACTTCGCACCTAAAACGTATAGGCAGTTATCGCAGCGTTACACCAAGCTACCTCACATATACGGTCTCCCTAAGATTCTCAATGACGGTATTCCGCACAGGCCGATTGTTAGTTGCCAAGGGTCTGTGTGCCACCCTCTGAGTCGCTTCCTTGTAGATATAATTGACCCATTGATCGGAAAGTCTCCTTCATGTGTCCGAAACTCCGCCCACTTCGTGGAAATAATCAAAGATGCTCCCATCCTATCCAACCAGATGGTGAGCTTGGACGTGGTGAGTTTATTCACCAAGGTACTCACGGAGGAAGCACTCTCAGTAGTCAGAGACAGATTGGCCTCTGACCCTAGAAGGACGGAGCAGTATTCCAATAGATAATCTGATGGAGATGTTGAATTTCTGTACACAAACAACACACTTCAGAATGGGGTCACACATATATCGACAGGATGAGGGCTTAGCAATGGACTCACCGTTATCAGTAGCAATGGCGAATATATACATGGAATACTTTGAGGAAATGGCATTAGAATCTACATCTCTAAAACCAACTATATGGTACGTAGATGACACCTTCATACTCTGGCAACACCAGGATAATGTTCAGGTTCTACTGGACCATGTGAACTCAATAAGACCTTCGATACAGTTCACAATGGAGAAAGATAGTAACAACACACTCTCATTCCTGGATGTTTTAATATCTCGAACAGAGCATGGGTTCAGGACATCCGTATACCGTAAACCGACATTCACCGGACAGTACCTCAATTTCAACCCCCGCCATCTATACAGCGTAAAGAAAGGGATCGTCCGTTGCTTAAAACACCGAGAAAGAATCATAAGTGGTGACCCAGCGACGTTAGATAAAGAATTGGTCAGTATAAGTAGTACCCTACAACGTAACAACTACCGTGGGTACATGGCAGCAGTCCCAAAAAACTGGAATAGGCGGGTACAAAAGGAAGAGGCCAACAACACTCAGAAAACAGTCTGCCTGTCTTATGTGAAGGGGTTATCGGAGAAAATACAAAGGATCTGCGGTCCATATAACATCAGGACAACCTTCAAAAGCTGGACGACACTTCGCAGATATCTCTCCCGAGTAATACCCCACCATAGAGGAGAACATGACTAAAGACTGTGTGTACGCCATCCCGTTCAGCCGCAGAAAGAAATATAAAGGGGAGACAGGCCTCCCCCTCAAGGTAAGGCTTCAAGAACACCAGAAAGCTGTAACACGAGGGGAAGTAGAAAAATCAGGCGTGGCTGACCACATATGGAGAGAGAAGGGAGATCACTGCCCTCTGTGGGATCATGTTTAAAATCATAGACAAGGAACACCATTGAAAAATTCGTAAACTTAAGGAATCAGCACATATGCTAGGCCACAAAAATCTCCTGAGCCGTCTAAGCATAGAAATAAATACAATATGGGAATCAGTAATAAGGAGTGCCAGAGAAAAGCAATGATAACAACAAAGTTGCAATATAAGCTCTGATAAAAAAATGCAATGATAACAGCAAAATTGCAATATGAACACTGGTAAAAATGGTTGCTGAAGACATTAGGTTTATAATACCCAGAAATTCATACCCAGAAATTCATACCCAGAAGTCCTCGAGCACAGTGGATAAAGGCGTTGGTTTGATCCAGTGACAGGACCGAAAGAGTATGAGTTCAATACCTGGTTAAGGCAATGGAGAACTTTCAGAAGGAAATTAGCAGGAGATAATTGATAACTGACATCCATCAAAAATGGCACGTGGAACTAGAACAGTCTACCCCAGTGAGCGAAATAAAGGGTACAGTTCGACATTCTAACCACCTGAAGAAGGCCGGAGCGTACAACGGCCGAAACGTTTTTCATAAATATGGCGACAATGATGAGGACAATAGTCCGAATAATGTAAATAATGTCTAAAAAGTTCTCTGCTTCTTTTTATTTTGAAAAACGAGAAACTGATTTTCTTTTTATGAAATGCCATGTCATTTCAGATCCTCGGCGATTCTATCTGCACGAGACTTTTCTTCGTCTTCTTTTCCCTTCAGGTCGAGCACAATTAAGGCTCTCCACAACTCGTTATATTGCAAGATGTCATGGCAGATACATGTTGTGAATTTGTGAAGATGCCTCATAACATTCAGATAAAATTCATTGACTTGAGAAGAAATTCACTATTGTAGTTTCGTTAATCTGAAATGCTTTTGACATTAATTTTTGGCGAACATTATATTGAGGACATTTTTTTAGAATTTAGTAAATGTCCTTAAAAATAAATTTGCCCGTTCGGAACGACAAGGAAATTTGAACAAGCATTTGCAAATATGAAATTGATTAAAAACAAAACAAGCTCGCGATTGGCTGATCAACATTTAAAGAATTCTCAAACACTAATTTAATTCCAAATATTACAGTTCTGGATAAATCAAACAGACTCCAGAATTCACATTAAGAGAAATAATGCCTGTTTTTGTTTGCTTTATATATAAAAACAATAAATTATATAAAAATAGAAAATCTTAATAGAAATATTTTCATAAAAATTAATGGGAGTAATTTTAGTGGTGCATTGGAACTTGTTGGTAAAAAAAATCGATACAGGCACCCCCTCCTGGCATTTACAACAAACTTACTGTTGATGGAGTATCTATCGTTGGAGCACAACATCTTATGCTTCAAAACCAAACACAGATAAAAATAAAAGTTAATATTTTGTGTTGTTGTTATTGTTTATCTCTGGATCGGGATCTTCTAAGATTTTCTTGCTTATATATGGCACAAGGCCGAAATAATAGACACCCAGTGAGAACCAAACTCACTACTCAGCCGTAATGGATCTAAAGAGACACGGCTTGCTAGCCATTACACCACGTCAAAGTGCATCTTACTAAGTGTAGATTAGATATGGCACAAGGCCAAAAGTATGGAGATCCGAGTGTGGAACTCACTACTAAGTCATATAGTGAAACAAGCTTGCTAACCAGTGAGCCACGTCGGAGTGCACTGTATTATTTGTGGGTGTTCGGGTTGAAAAATGGTTATCGGGTCGGAATTTAAAATTGACGGTCCGGGTTCGAGTTCTACTTCGTCATACGATTTCTCTTTTGATCAAATGGTAATGGAAATATTAGCTGTTTCCTTATAAAAAAATATTTGGTATTCATTGACTGAGTAGAGAATTTGCTAATGTCTGTTAAAATTTATAAAATATTTCTTTAAAAAACAATGTTTAAGAAAAATAGGTCTTTCAAGAACAGTAGCTGTTATCGAATTTTCCAGTATTGATGGCAGCTTTCTTCCTAACATTATGTTTAAAATAGTGTACATTGTCATCATATTCATTATGATTTTCTTTTCGAGTTAAATGTGGTATCCATTTTATCTGTTGCTACTGTTGAAAGTCTTTGGTACAGTACTTGTGATTTGTAGCGACATTCTACAAGGTTTGAAGAAGTGTAATGCTTGTCAAGATACACAGGTTTCATGTTTTGCGTATAAGTGAATATAACAAACGCAATGGCAACTGAGCCATTATCCATTACACTAGCCTACATCGAATTTTACAGCACCGTGCATTCCCAAGCGGTCACCCATACAGGTACTGACTAGGCATGAGGTTACTTAACTTCGATGATTGTACGGGAACTGGTGTTTCAACGTGATGTAGCCATAATTTTTGTGCGAGTTCCATTATTGAAGAAAAAAGCTTTTCCAAACATTTATTCTACGTGTGGCAGCAGGTTGATGCAACAAAGAATTGAACCATACATGAAAAGTATAGATGAATATTTGGAGAAATAATGAGACAGATTTGCTCACAATGCAATTAATTATTCATGCATTCATTGTGAACAAAACTTGCTTCAATTATGTCAATAAAATTAATAAATTTATTTCTTCCTATCAAAATGCTTTCGGGAGGAAATGGTCGAATTGCCAATTCTTAGCTTTGGTAACATCTATTAATTAAAATATAATGCAATTTCTACATTAGAATGCTTTAGGCAAGACAAGATTTAATTGCCAAGCCTTGTGTGTTGGGGGTTGTAAAAATGGCTATTTTGGAGAGTATTTAAAGGATCTGTATTTTCTGTAACAAAAAAATATTGAAGTCACGCTGTCGGCGTTCTTGTCTTTTCTCATAATGCTGATTTCAAGTAGAGAATTGGAGAAATGGAGTTTCCTTCATCCAGCATAATTTCTCTTTCAGATGTAACTTGTTTATAAAATCGCTGATCCAAGTATGAAAAATGATGTTCAAATATGAAAGTTAGACGATAAAATCTTATAGATAGATAGGCAAATACACACCCACCTATATATATATATATATATATATATATATATATATATATATATATATATATATATTTCTCTCATCTCATTCTCATATATCTATCTATCTATCTATCTATCTATCTATCTATATATATATATATATATATATATATATATATATATATATATATTTAAAATACTTTTTATGTTTAACATTCTTTTTTTATAGATAAAGTATTTTAGTAAATACTTTGTTTATAATAAGCAGTATTAAATAACATTTACCGGCCTGAATGTCCGAGAAATTTTCATAGAAATTATTCGTCCTTTGACAGGATTCGAACCTGCATCCTATACGGAACCGTCATTTGACTTTGTCCATTTCTTCTTCAAGGGGATTTTTAATGGCGTTTATATAACGCATGCATAATGCTTTTAAACATTCTATCTATCTATCTCTATCTATCTATATATATATATATATATATATATATATATATATATATATATATATATATATATATATATATATATATATATATATATATATATATATATATATATGGACTGATTGGAAGAGATAACATTTCAGAAATGTCGTAAAAAATGACAGCTTTTTGAAGATTTTTTATTTGTGGTTTTTGAATAGTAATTCCAACCACCCCTCATAATTGCTGTTGTTTGACTCCAACCCGGGTACTAGTACATGTTAGTGTCCCAGCTATGGGCCGATAGTGAAAACGCTATAAAAGTATAAAAATACATATTTTTAGTAAAATTACCAACGATACATTTTAAAACAAAATGACCAACAATTCATTTTATCAGTAGTTGAAGGCTTACAATTGCATTCAAAATATATTTAGCGGAAGCCATAAAACTGTGTTCAAAATATTAACATTTCAACATAAAATACCCCATTCAGGATGATATGCCGCAAAACGAAATCAGTCAAACAACCACCACCAAAGAACTCTTTCATGACATTAATTCATATAATATCCTATAATTTCTTATAAAGAACTTAAATTTTATTCCAAATTATAGCTTCAACAAAGCTACAACAAAACGCACAAATATCAACGCCTCTCATAATCATGTCCCTACAAAAAATGTATATGCACAAAATCTGAGTATCATCTACCATGTATTCAATTGTGAAAGCAGAATAACGTATATAATATTTTATTACTTCAAAGCTCCCAAAACAATTTCGGCATTAAATGACCCATAAGGAGTTGATATTGCATTAAACAAATAGACCAACCATTTTCAAGGGAAATCTATGAGAAAGTGGAAAAGATTTTCGTGGGACGCGTTTCGTCCTTTAGAACTTCTTCAGAGTAAAGTGATGTTTACGTTGAAGGGGACAACATGGGCTCACGAAGGAGAGATGAAGCTGAAAATGTTAAATAATTTTAAATAAATATTTTGGATATATAATCTTTATATATTTATTTTGTTTCGTATCTGTTTTGTTTATGTTTGTATCACTTTTATTTGATGTTATTTGATATTTAATCCTCCTATTGTGGCAACAACATTTGACAAGAAAAGTGAAATGTTTTAAGAAACTGGTCGTAGATTTACTGTGGATGACTTTGCGATTAAAGCCCTTTTCTCAATTGCTTTCTCTTTTAAGGCTTTGAAACGGCCTATTTATTCTTCTTATAATTCCGTTTTATCATCAACCCCAGTAGATACTCTTTACGTTGAGAATTTAAAGGCCGTTCTGGTGGTAGCCACAATTTCGGATTGTAATAAACCCATTTTCTTTTGCCAGTGACGATATTTGTCCTCAGTCGATTCTCTTGCGGCCGAGATATTAAAGGACCGTCCTGGATCTGCTCACGATCTTCTTCGGGTTCGATTATCGTAATAAATCCATTTTTCATCGCTAATGACTATCTCTGTTCCCCCTTGTTTCTCTTTACAGAGAAATAGTTAAGGCTTTTTGGATCTAGACACAGTTTTCATCGTTTCTGATTCTTGAAATAAATTTATTTCTATTATAAGTGACTATTACGCCTTTACTTTATGTTCATTAATTATCCATCTGCCTATCTATGTTTATTAATTATCTATCTATCTATCTATACATGCCCATTAATTATCTATCTACCTATCTATGTTTATTAATTATCTATCTATCTATCTATCTATCTATCTATCTATCTATCTATCTATCTATCCATGTCCATTAATTATCTATCAACCTATCTATGTCTATTATCTATCTATCTATGAACATTGATTATCTATCTATCTATCTATCTATCTATCTATCTATCTATCTATCTTGTCTGTCTGTCTGTCTGCAAGTCTCATAACAATATACGATTGTTGAATAGCTGCCTAGATTTCTTTAACCTAATTTGTTCATGCGACATTTATTTTCTTTGCTTCAAAAAAAAAATTCTTCTTGTAAATGATAGGCTAAGGATGTACAGATTTTCTTATTAGATAAATTCTATTGTTAATTGAATCAATAAATTATTAGTGATATACTATTGTTAACCCGGTCAATAGATTATTTATCCAAATATACATAGATTAATTAGCCGCTGTTTCGTTTCCCGTTCTGGGTATGACGATAAACTACATCAGGCAGCAATCACCTCTTAATTGCTGTTGTGTCTATGTCCAGCTTGACCCAAGTTGGTAGCACCTATTGGGCTCCCATCTATGTGCAAATAGTTAAACCTGTTGAAAATATAAAAATCTATTTTATGGTAGAAATACCAGCAATAAATTTTCATAATAAAAAAGAAAAATATATTAACCTTTTTTTGTAAAATAAATTACGAATGCTCGCAACAAAATTAAATTTCGGCATGAAATGACCCATAACGAGTTGATATACCATTAAAGAAACAAACAGTTTCCTACAGTATTTAGTGTTATTAGACTGTTCTAGTTCCACGTGCGATGTTTGATGGATGTCAGTTTGATCTAATTTTCCATCAATGCCTTTATCCACTGTGCCATGATCTAACCAATGCCTTTATCCACTGGACATCTGGGACATATGAACTTCTGGGCATTATAAACCTAATGTTTTCAGCATCATTTTTACCAGTGCTGAAATTAGCAGGAGCTAACTGACATCCATCAAACATGGCACGTGGAACTAGAACAGTCTACCCCAGTGATAGAAATAAAGGGTTCAGTTCGAAATTCCAACCACCTGAAGAAGGCCGGAGCGTACAACGGCCGAAACGTTGTGACAAATATGGCGACAAAGATGAGGACAATAGTCCGACTAATGTAAATACTGTACATAATACCTCATCTCAGAAATATAGACAGACTCCAAACAGTTTCCTTTAGAAAATTTTATTCGATTCATCAATATATTTTTCGTTTTTAGGACGACCAACGCAAGAAATAGAATGAAAATCGGTTTACTTTTTAACAAGAGCAATAGGTATATTTCTTGTTCATAAGGTTCTTTCTCTCAAAGCTGTCATTCCAAATGGTTTTCTCGAAAATAAAATAGGATTGATCCCAATACTTTCATGTATTAAGAACATTAAAATGAATGTATAACCCGGGTATTGTTTGGTTCCCCCCAGGAATTGAACACAAAATCAAATCTACATGTGCACAAGAAAACATGCAGAACTCATGGGTCTCTGTTCTTTTGCCACGGCATAGTCAGCATAAATTATTAATGCTGTTGAACATTTCGGCGTAGTGTAATGGTTAATAAGCTTGTCTCCGCTAAATCATTTACAACTGAGTAGTGAATTCTAGGCTCTCTGGGTGTTCCATAATTTCTGTCATGTGTTACAATTAAGCTTCTGGGTGGTTGAGTGACTCCTTCTTCATGCCATCTAATAGTCACTTCGGTAATCTTATATCTTTTCCGGACCATCTTTGCCCTTTTTTAGATCCTGGAAAAGATGTATCGTCTGCCAGATTTATGGAACAAGATGAAGTTGACCTTAGTAATCGTTTTAAAGCGGTAATATAAATAACTTCTACCAATAAATAAGACAACGCACTTCTTATAAACAATAATAATTGCAATATGAGCTCTGGTAAATTCATGCAATGAAAACAGCAAAAAATTGCAATATGAGCACTGGTAAAAAAATGATGGCTGAAGACATTAGGTTTATAATACCCAGAAATTCATACACGGATGTCTTCAAGGACATATGGCACAGTAGATAAAGGCGTTAGTTAGATCCAGTGACAGGTGAACACGGACATACGTTACACCGTGAGTTCAATATCTGGTTAAGGCAGTAGAGAACTTGGAGAGGGGAATTAAAAGGTGATAACTGACATCAATTAAACATGACACGTGGAACTAGAACAGTCTACAATAGTCCGAATAATGTAAATAGTGCCATGCTCTATTTTTACAAGAATCGGATCCATCC